CCATAAACTTCTGCGAACGCTATTGAAGAAAGCGAAAAAAACTATGATCAACATTACCTGTGCTTTAACAATAATACTCTCGTTAAACGGTAAGATTGCATTGAGGAAGTTTTAATCGTGTCCTAAAGAAAATTTTTCTTTATTTTTTTTGCTCTCCCTTAGTTACGCTTCCACAATTATACTTTGTTCTGTAAATGCATTTGACTCAAGTTGGGGGAGACTTAATTTAGTTTTCTGTTATTTTAGCCACAAGTTCATTTTGTCTATGGTGTTTTTTTTTGTTCTGGGTGAAGCTCGATTGATTGAAAGTACTCTGAAATGACAAGCCCAACTGAGTACTTTTAGTATTCGCACTTCTGGGGAAAGAAAGACTTTTAATGTAATTTCGAGAAAAAAAAACTAAAACAAAAAAGCCAATGTTTAATATGTTTTTGTTGAGTTGATCATCAAGTAAGTGCCTTTGAACTACAAAAGGGGGAATTTTTCTGTTTCCTAAATTGAATCGAGTAAAAATTGGGAGAACGGAAAGTAATTTTGCCAATTTACCAAATGAGAATAGTCAATTTTGAAACTAACTTTAAGCACTTTGCTTGTTCTCTTCTTGTTTAATGTCCATTACTTTTTCACTTCGCTCAAATATAACTTAGATTTGAGTTGTCATCAGCAAATCCATTTATTTTAATTTGACACTTAAAAAAACACTTTGCTATCTTTCCCTTTTTCAAGAAAACATTATTTTATCAGGAAAAAAAATCAACCAAAAACTTCTTAAGGGAAAAATCTAAATTGCTAACAGTTCGTTAATTTGACAATTTAAAAAATCAAACCACACCTGAAAAAGTTTCAACAAAAGGTTTGTCTTTCATTGATTTATTTTATGAGTTTTCTGCAGAAATAATTAATTTATAAGCACGCTCAAGTGCACTTTTCTGTAAAGTATTCATTTTCAACTTTTATCCGACTTGCTTGAAGAGCAGCGCTCTCTAACTCCTGCCGAGAAACAATAAATTTGCTAAATTTTTCATCAAGGTGCGCCAAAAGGCAATAAAAAGAGGCTGATCCGAATCTAATTTAACTTTCTTTACAACAACTTGAGCATATCATTTGAAAACTTATTGAATTCACCTGCGCGAAGGGCACTTCTGAAGAACAACAAGCGAAAACACAAAGTATTCAATATCAAGACGTAAAGTGATTTTTAATCCCCTTCAACAAAGAAACGCGCAACCAGATTGAAAAAAAAAGAGAACAACAAAAAGCCATCCATTTAAGTCCCATTCGTCGGCGGGCGGGGGCTAGTATTTAAAAGTTGAAGTGCTATCCTATCGCCCAGTTAAGGGTACATTAAATCCACCCCTTAAGTTATCGACTACTTTTGTCAGAAGCATTAGTGTGGTGTTGTCAACTGCATGCTCCACTAAAGTGCCACCTTTTCCTGAAAACTTTTCCTATCACGCTTTGATTAATTTACTCAGCTCAAGTTGGCTTGTCTTAAATCGTCTTTGAATTCTAGTCCACAAATGACGAATAGCTCATTTTTTTCCAATTTAAATTCTTGTTAATTTTTTCTCAATTACAAAAACTGTTGAATTACAAAAAGTATTCCGGTTCTTTCAGTTTTCTCTGCTTTATCAGAAATTTGATAAACGTATTTCATTTAGCAACAATGAAAAAAGATGATTTTTTTGTTTTGTTGAAATAATTATTAAAGTTTGTCCTAACTTTACGCCATATTGTATCAAACAAAAGTTTATTGACGGAGCAAACTAAAAAAGGAAGCAAGAATGGAACGTGATCTTATAGAGATGGGAACTTTGATTTAAACTCGGACTTAAACCAAATTCTTTAAAGGAAACTTGAAAAGGCAATTTAGGAGTTGAGCCAAATCACTCACGTATCATATGGCATCGCTGTTTACTGTCCTGATTTTTAATAAAACTTTCCAACTTTTTAATATAATGGCCACAAGCAAAGTTTAACTTAATTTTGTTTACATATTAAATTTTTGTTTTAGTTTGGCCAACGAATTCAAAGTTGGCTCATAGTATTCAAGCAATTTTATTAATTTTGATATTTATAAACTTTTTACATCCTTAGAAAACAAATGTTCAGTTTTGAAAATATGTGCACAACATATTTTTTAAAACTTTCAGTCATATCATAATTCTCTCTGAGCTTGAAGTTTTTTCTTAACTGTTAAAAGTTTCGGCAAACACAAAACTAAGCCATTTTATCATACATTCTTTCTGACTACATTTCAACTTATGCGAATCATTTTGTCGTCATTATAACTAACTTTTACCAACTTGCTTCTCTTTTCAATTTGATTTTTGTTAGTTAAACTGTTTTATCAAGTTTTATAAAGTCAGCTTCGTTTCAAACTTTCAAAAGTTATGTTATCTGTCTAGTTTTGCTGAATTTGAATTCGACGCTAACCATTTATAGTTTAAAAACTATACATTAGAAAGTTTTCGTTGTTCAATTTTTTGAGCATACATTTTTCTTGATTTACCAGGTAAGTTCGCTTTAGAAATAATAGAGTAATTTTTGTTAAATCTTTTCCATAAAAGTTCAATTTGCAAAGTCAGGGATTTGAGAAGTATTAAAAAAGGCAGGTGGGAATTATAAAACTTGAAACGTAAACAACAATAAAAGTAATTTCAGGCGACTACAGACGACATTTACTATTGTTTGTTCCTATCTGGATTCTTGCGTATGCTGAAAAAAGTGTTTAGTTTTTTTTTCTGAATTTCAATTGAAAAGAAAATAGTTTTATTGCCTTGAATGAGGTATGATGCTTTTATTCGTTTATTGTTTTTCTCTCTTAACGAATTGAAAAATCACGAGCGTTGAAAAAGCTGAGACTGGGAACAAAGTATTGGTTTAATTTGCATCTGCCAGAAATAACTCAAGCGACAGGGAAAAGCTTCTTCGACTGGCGCTGATTTCTTTTTTTTGTTCTTTTTTCTCCTTCCCTGTTTTTTTTTCTCAACTTTACCTCGAATCCCTAGTCCGTCTCCCCCGCTGCTGATAAATCTAAATTTATGGATGTACTGTTCTGCTTTTATGGGGACTGTACCGCGGATGAAACTTTTTGGACTCATTGGTCATTAGTAGTAGTATGATGTTATGTCAGGCTCAGAAGTTGATGTTCATGTGTGTGTTGATTGTGCTGCAGGTGTTTTGAAATGTGATTAATTGATAAAGACACAATAAGTTACTTTTTGTAAAGATCAGTCAAGTAGAGAAACTTCCTTGATGCTGAACAAAAACTCTTTTATGGGTCAAAGTATTTTATTGCGCCAAGCAGTTGGTTTTTACCTTTCTCTCTTTCGCTCTCTTTTCTTTTCATATTTTTTTCACTTTTCTGTTCGCCATTTTTCAATTTTTCATCCATCTTTAATCCAGTTTTGTCTATCGATCCCGATTGTAAACAAAGAAGCAACAAAACAATTACTAAACCATCAATTTTGCCAGCGAAACAGCCAAACTGAAACACTTGAATCAGTTTGTGGTATAAATCTGCGAAAAGTAGAAATCAACCGTCAGGTAAGTTACCAATTTTTCTTAAACTTTCTTCTCAGCTGGCAAAAGAACAAATAGTTTGTTTATATTAGCTTAAAGTTTGCCTCAAATTACAAAAAGCTGCTTAAAATAGTTGAACAAGATCAAAAAACCCTTCACCATCGAAAAAATAGTTTACCGACTCTGTTAATGAGTGAATTGGTTTGATTTGTTTTTTCAAACATTTGTTGTAAGCGGACCGGATAATTTAGTGGAGGTCAATTGTGGCTGAAAACAACATCAAAAGTTGTTTTTATTGCAGTCTGATTTTTGTTAAGTTTGCATTTTTTGAGTTTTGAAGTGGCAACTTTTGCTATCCTAAGGCGAAAGGGGTGAAAAAGGGGACACTGCTCAGAAAGTATTTCCACCTTTGACACTTTCTACAGTTGTGACAGGCATACTTGTACAATTGATAGTGTGGATAATTGCAAGCAAGTCCGATTTGAATTGAATTGAAGTAAGTTTGAAAAAAGAACAGGATGGCACTTTCAAAGCTTCGAGAGGAACACAACAAAAGTCATCCCGGCCCAACTTGCAAAACAAAAACGAGCCTTGAAAACTGAGTGTAGTAGACATAAAAACAGTTTCCGCTTTCCGAAATTGACTTTCTCAACTTTCCTTGCTTTTTGTTTCTTCTTTCTTTTATTTTACTTTTAATACAATTTCCCAGCTAATCACGAAATTCCCTCAATCGTTAAAACACGGGACAATTTTGCCTAGTTTGACAACAGCAACAATGATGAAATAAATCAAAACCGAAAAAATTCTATTCAATTTGTTCCAATTTTCTATTTTTTTTTTTCATTTTTCTCATGAGATCCAATGAAGTATTGAGATTACTTTAGCAAAAGGCGATTTCCTACTTTTCAATTTAGCACAATTGTTGATACCAAACAACTGTTTATTCTCCTTACAGAAGAGGTATTTTTGCTCCTTTCTTATGAATTAAAAACTGAATGAAACAATTGGCGAAGATAGCGGAAAGTGACCGAGGAAAGTAGAAAGAGAAAAGAAGACTTTTTCAGATTTATTTTCACTTTTTTCTCATTTTCTTTTATTCTATGCTGTTGTGCCAACGAATCATTCTATTCGACTCATTGATTAGAAAGTATTTCAAACATCCAATTGCTTCCTTATTCCAATCCCTCAGCGCTTTTTTGGCCCCTAATTAGAGCCCAATTTTAATTGGGAACGAACGAAAAGAACCGACCACGTTTTCTTTTTAAAATCTTCATTTGCTACTCTAACACACTGCATTGAACCTACTACATTGATTTCCAAAAAGTCAATACTTAATTATTAAAAAAGATATAATTTTCAGAGCGACCCCAAAATTGCATTCTGTTGATAAACTAATTTGAAATCTAAAAAACATCAGCCTCAATCTTATTTGTATTTTCACTTTTAAATAGTCAGCTTTTTAAATTGTACTTCAGAATCATGTCCACTGACTTTGATGAATTTATGGAGCAAATCGAATCTTCAGAGAGTATCTTGGAATCATTCCAGCCCAAAGCATCCACGGAAAAAGAGGCTAAAATGTCGCCGACCATCGAAAACTCCAAACCAATCGAAAAAGAGCCAGGATGTGAAAAGAGAAATACAGACCCGATTTCGAAACTAGAATGCAAAAGTGACTCTGCGGATTTGAGTGAGATTGAACTGTTGAAACAGTGTGCTAATTTCCTGCCAATCATTCCACCGAGCTCGCTGATAGGCACAGAAGCACTATCTCCCTTGAAAGAGGTAAGGGTGATTTGACTGCTATCAACGCAAGAATAGCCGGTTCTCGTATATGTAGTAAAAAAATGTTTCGACCACAGTTATTACGCAAAAACGGAAAAAATCATTTTTCAAATCTTCTTTTCGATTTTTTTCTACGCTGAGAAAACTTTCGGAATTTTTTATTGATTATAAAATAACTGAAATGGCTTTAATATATATGATTCGACACTAGCAGATTTCTAACCCTCTGTTGCTATTTTAAGGCCTCCATTTTTCTGAAGGCGTCTTTGGCGCCTATATATACCAATTTGAAGGGGGGGACGAGCGCTGAAAAGTTGCATTTGTTGGTGAAAAATGTCCAAAACGTGCCAAAAAAGGCCTTTTTAGCCTGCTTTTTTACAGGGTATTTTACTGCTTTGGGAGAGCTCGGAAAACCAATTTGGTCGACTTGAGAAAAAGCTCGTCAATATGCTCGACAAAATCTTAGATTCGACATTCCGACACTGTCACTTGACCCTATCAGACATATTTAATGTAAATGAGTATGTGTGCGAAGGAAAATGAAAACCCAAATACCAAGTTCCTCCCCATTTCGTGATTAGAGTCAAAATTAAAACCATGTTTATGGTTATTAAGAATACAGTTTCAAGTAGAATACATTTAAAGATAACAGTACATATTATGAGATTATCAAATTATTTCAGCTTTCACCGAGTGAAAAAACTGCGATTGATCCCGATCTTCAGAAAAGTTCCCCTGCAATCACGAAAACATCGCAGTTATCAACAAGTCCGTACATTTCTGCCTCAAATGGAAACAATTTGGCAGCTACTGCTATGCAGTATCTATCATCCCTCTATTCTAACAGTGCCATCGCAACTTCATTCGCAAACACGAACGGATTTATGTCGACCATAAATGCTTCGTCAAAACCCGAGGACTCGGCGCTTGCTCTGCAGCTTCTCGTCGGGAACGCCGGACGAAATTTGAGCAATTCTAGCAACACAAGTGCATCAAAGACATCTAACGAAGACCTCAACTCAAACTTGAGCAAATTGGCTGCACGTATTAGACAAAACTCGTTCACAAACACGTCCCAAAAAGAGCTGCAAAATAGAGTAGGGCTTCAAACGAGTGACGAGGGTTCCAATAGTATGAGCATCAATGCAAACGCAGTGTCAGCAATGTTGCGAGCTCTAGCTGCAACGCCGGGCGTCGCTGATCTTTCGGGTCTGGGCCTCGGTGGAACAGGAGTGAATGGGGGCCACACTAGTATGAGCGCAGCAACACAGGCGGCGGCGGAAGCTGCCATGTTGCAGTTAACATATGCTTCCAGTCTGCAAAACCAACTAAACATTAGTCACGCAAACAACATGCAATCAAAAGTAGGTTTTCAACAACTAATTAGTGATAACTGACTTTTTTTTACAGAATTAAAAGAAATGGATAAAGTCAGAGCGGTGCTTTACATGGAAAGCGGTATAAAATTAGAGCATATTGTATTATTGTTTCAATCCTCAAGTTATTTCTGCACTCAAAAACATCGAGGTCTCAAACTTTTCTGTTTTTCTAGCTGAAACATTCTGTTCTGAAGACCTCCCCGAACATGGACTCTGTATCGGCCACCTCTTTCATGAATTCGAAGTGGGCCACCGATCAGTTTGCTCACATGGCTAGCAACTCTACTTCGCCCTCTATCGGAAATAACGTGCACAGACAGAGCCCCCCTACATATTCCAGCCACGATATTGGTAGATTTAACTGTAATCTATTTATGAGCTGAAAGAAAAATACTTTTTACCACGAAACAAAAAATAAAAGCTTCTAATTTCTCATTTCAAAAATCTCAAACCTTAATGCCTCATAATATTAAAAAGCTCTCATCAACATTAGGTATTTTTTTTGCGTTCCAGAGCTGGCCAAAGAGAGCAAATGTCCGGCTCCAAACTGCGATGGAACTGGACACATCACAGGACTGTATTCGCACCACAGAAGGTTAGCAAACAAACTTAAACTAGCTTTTGAAATATTTCGGTGAGTACTATTTTTGCAAACCACCGCCCATCTGAGAAGTTAAAGAAACCTTGACTCAAGTTGAGTTTTTTAACAAAGGTTGAGGCGATTGCAAGAAGCTACCCACGCAGTTGAGAGAGAGCTTATCAGAAATGAATTTTGACTGGTTCCAAAGTTTTTTCGACGTGAGTTTTGATATTCATCATGAAGTTGGCTTTGATTTCTTTTTCAAACCCAAAAAAATCACTTCGGAGTTTTTGTTCGGATCATTGTATCTCGTAGTCAGAAGGCTATATGACTTGGTTTATGAGGAATCCGAAACAAAAAAACTCTTAAAGCGTCTAGTGTAGTAGCATATAAAGACCCTTCAAGTGATCAAAAGTTCCTGCAGTGTCCATATTCTTTTTGATTGCAACTGCTGTAGTCACAATAACTTGCCACCGAACTTTTGGCAAATAAAGTCTTCGTATTGTTTTGGGAGAGCTCAAAAATTATGTTTAATTAAAATGAAAAACGTCAACAAATTTTTGAATTCCTTTTTAAAATTTCCCCTCGAGAAAATTTTGATCCGCTCCTGATTAAAACCAAAATGCTTTATGAAGTTCATCTTAAACGTTGTTTCTCATCTGAAGTAGTAAATTCTTGCTTAATTCAATTTTTGTGACTTTGATGTTTCCAAGTTAGATACCTTGAAAGGAAACGCTTCGACGGACAATTTGCATAAAAACTTCAAAAGGTCCACCTAGCAACTTTTATGCTTTCGTGGCTCTGAAACTTAAGTCTTTTAGTGTAATTGGACTTGTTTTTCAATTATGCAAATTGAAATTAGATTTGAGGAAAGAAAAATTAGTCAAAGTACGCGTCACGCAGAGCGCAGCGCTAAGTAACAACTTTTTGAGGTCATCACTTTTTAAAATTCCATCCATGCACGAACTTTTTTCTTTCAACTACTTTTTAAAAATCTTGCTTTTTCTTATTGAAAGGTACTATAGATTGGCTAATACGTGGGATGGGGTACATTTGACGGGACAGTAATGCACGCTGTTATGTAAATATCCTTTGCAGTTCTTTCTTTCTTTTTTCCACTCGTGGTCTTATTTCGGAGTTTAATCTTAAGTTGACTTTAACCTTTGTTCTCGTTTGAAGCCAAATTGGTCTCAAGCCCAAAATTCAGCTGGAGTTTCCTCCCCTTCCTCCCCCCTCCCCTCCCCTAGACTACACCCCTAATGGAGCTAACTTCATAGTACACTCTAACTCTTTCTCAATCAGTCACCTTGTATCAGCTATACAGTAGTCTATTCTCACCTAAATACCTTGCCAAGCTAGGATTGGTAATGTTAGAAGGAACTAACTAATACGCCAGTAAATGCAGTTAAAGTTGCAGAGTTAAGTCACTTTTATTTCAACTCAAGGAAGTAAAGTTAGTTGAAAGAGTTGAGAGAGAGCGGAGCTAATCTGCAATAGCACAAGCAGCACAAAGTTATTCGGCTGTGGAAAAAAGAGTAAGTTAATTGTTAATTCAACATTGTTTTTGGTTCCATTTCACATTCAGTTTCTCCCATATTTTTTAGTTTCCCAATTTTTATCGCCAACTTACTCCCTTTTAATTAAGCCAACCACAATTGTACATTGTATTAGCAACAATCGAAAGTTAGATTGAATTTTAGAGTTTTATCAAATCAACTATTTAAAAAATGTCTGCGTCATATTAACCTAGCACTAGTCACAGGAGGACTTGAAGTTGCTTCTAGCTAAGCTAAAAATCTAATAAAACTTTGCAGCGAATTTTGCTTGCATTTAAATATGATGTTATTTCAATCCCGTTTTAAATCAACTCTGCTCAAAATGCAAGACAGTTAATGCATAAGCGTACAACTTTATTATTTTTATTGCAATACTTTTTTTTGACAAAAAGTTGGCTCTTTTTGAGCAAAGTAAATAAACATCATTTGTTTTGAATAGTTTCTATGTTTTGCCAGCCGCACTTGTTTTCCAACTTTTTCATACAATTTTGTTTCTGTTTTGCCGCAAAAAAGAACAAAAATTCAAAAAACAAATTTAGTTGCTGAATTATGCATCATTTGTGAAACTACATATAGAGTAAGTTGCTTATTTTCGTTCTAATCCTATTGCTTAGAAACAGACAAAAATCAGTTTTTTTTCAGAAGTATTTTGTGAATTAAAAACAAGACATTTCTTAGCTTAAGTCTTCGTCAAAGTTCGCATTAAAACTTAAAAATTGCCAACAAGGAAATCGGCTTAAGTCGAGCGATGCAGCAGTGAATTGTTAAAACTATTGCAGAGCTGATTTTTTCTTTTCTTTTTCATTGTACTTTGTATTGCACTCTGTAATCCGTAGAAATGGAAAAGTTAGGCTACTGGTAAAATTAGTTGTAAAAAGCTAGAATCTTCCCCAGTCAGTGAAGAGAGAAGGAAAAAAGAAAAACCCAAATCTGAGAGCAGAATTGCTCAAAGTGGAAAAAGTAGGAAACGTGACTTCATTTTACCAATTTTCACTACTTTTAGACCTGCCCCTGACAATTTAATCACTTGCAAATTCGCCCTTCTAAAATCTGTTCACTTGAGCGCAAATTTTACTCAACCATTACTTTCTCTCAAAAATTTTCCCATCTAAGTTGAGACTTTTATAAATTTATAATCTTTGAGTATTTATTTTTTTTCCATAATTTAGACTTTTTTACCTCAATTATTCTCCTCCTACTGAGCTCACTGCAGGTAGATAGCGCATTTAAAACTTTCGTTTCTGGGCAAATTTTTTAAAACCCACAAAGTAGATAAAACTGAAAAACAGGAAAAAAAACAGCAGCAAGATTGAACAAGAATTGTAAATCCATACGTATATATTGCGTCAGAGATAGAATTTAGCACGAAAAAAAAACTAATCATTAGTTACCGCAAATTTGAAACAAAATCTCCAGAAGTCTCATTTTCCGCATATTTCCTTCAGCTTAGCTTAAGAGAATCAACTACTTAAACAGTATTTCGTATACTTTGACTACATTTGTTTTAAGAGAGAGTATTTTTCTTTTATTTGTTTTTTCCAAGTTGAAATTCCATACTAGAATTGAATGAAACTAAGGAACTATAAATCGACTATACTTATAATTTACTTTGTTTCTCTTCTTTGCTTCTTGTGGTAGTTGTTCCTAGTTCAGTTCTGAAAAGCAGCAGCTATGGCTTCGTTTCGTTTCATCCCCACACAATAAGTATTCGCCCCTTGGTTCCCCTATTCTGTTTTCCTCATTTCTCAATTTTCCTCTTCCGCTCTACTCGAAGTTCAATAGTTTCGTATAAATAAAAATCCATTATTATCATCATCCTCATCAAAACTCAGTACAGTTGTTGTTTCTTCCCATTTCATTTCCTCTCTTGTTCAAAAATAACTCAAACTAAGTATTAATTTTCCTGTAGCAGTTTCACTGTTTGAAAAGTTTCACATCCGCACAACTATTTCTTATTCAACCAAGTTCGCAATGTTAGATGAGCCGAAAGCAAACAAAAAACGGTAATTTTTAACTTTCACTTCAGGCTGGGCTAATTTTTAAGTCTCTGGTGGTGCCAGAAGGAAGGAATGCAAGAAAATAATACTAGCCAATCATGATTCAGTACTCTAAAACGCGAATTAAGCTGATAAATCGGTCAGTTTAATTGATCAATTGGAACCTTCAGACTGTCGACCATGATAATACCCCCCCCCCCCCGCTTGTTTTCATTTGCGAAATTGAGTTTCAACTTGACTTAATTTTATAAAACTGAAACTTAAAAGCGAAGTGCTGCTGGATTGCAAAAAAAAGTAGACACTCTAAAGCGCTTCAAGTAAAGCGCTTCAAGTAATCATAATAATTTGTTCGTTTCTGTGATTGCATCGCAGTGGATCTATCTAAAGGCAATTTAGCGTGTACTATGACAATATTCAGTTTATATTGTTACCTAATAAATCAAGTTAAATTAGAAAAAAAACCAAAACCACTAAACACGTCTTGTGTTGTTTCAGTTTGTCTGGATGCCCACGAAAGGACAAAATGACTCCTGAATGTAAGTAAAAAATGTTTGTGATTCAATGGTTATCACTCGGCATCAGAAGCGTACCGAGAGGGGCATTTCTTCTCAATTTTGGTCGCCACATTGTTTCCAAGGGCCCCATTTGGTCCTATTTCACGCCACCCATTTCGAGCTGACCACCGCAAAATAAAAATTTAAGGCGCCAAACTACAAAAATTTTAATCGGTAGCGGATTTAGGCGGCGGGGGGGGGGGGCGGATGCCCCCTTTCCCTCAGGGATTCGATCGATCACCTGCCGACCCAAAGGCCCCCGCTTTGGACTATTTTGAGATATCCATTTTTGGCTGACTGACCTTAAAATTTTTCTAAAGGCGCCTTTGGTGTCAAAAAACACTAATATTGAGCGGGGGCGCGCGCCAAAAAAAAACCCGATTTTTTGTTCAAAACGCCTTTTTTGGACTTTTTTCAAAAACTTTTTTTTCAAAAGTAGAGAGAACTCAGAAAATCAATTTGGTCGACCAAAAAAAAAGGTCGACAAAATTTTCAAAAACCCCAAGGTATTAATTTTGGGGTTGACCTACAAAAATGGTCGTTTAAAAAAACTGCTCAGCCCGTCAAACAATTCTACACGCGCCACTGCTGGGCATGCATGACTACTTCTATCTAACCTACCCAAATGTTTCTTGGTAACCAAAATTTAACGCTAGGAGCTAGGAAATCCAAGATCCGTCCCTGTTTTACGCTTCAACTTGTAATTCTAAGAAAACAACTCTTCGACTCTTCGATTTAGTTTCATGTTGTTTGATCGTAGAGAAATAGTTATTGAAATCATGTACACCAGACTAATGCCTAAAAGTTCCTTTGTTGATGCTTTTTCGTTCGTGGAATCCGAATTGTGAAACATTTTTTGACAGAAAATGTTTGAATGGAATATTTGGAGCTTTTGTGAAATATTCGCAACTGGTATCTTTCTATTCCCATCCTACCAACATTCCATTCATAATAGAGTACACATTTCAATGAACCTGTTTTCTTCTTAGTTGTATTTAGGTACAGTTGGTTGAAGTCGCGATTTTAAAAAGTTAATAACATCCGCTTTGCAAAACTATTAAGAAAAGTAATACCAGAACAGTGAACAAAAACTATTTTCGAGTGTAGGGGGAGCAATTTTGGGATACCATATTTAGCGATTGTTCCCTTCACTTCATATGGAATAGTTCCTATTATCAAATAAAAGGTAATACTTTGTTTTAATTTCACTTTTGTTTCGCGTTTAGTGCTCGGACTATTAAAAAGTATTTTCCTTTATTTTCATACTTGGAAGAAAAGAGAGTTGAATGAAACAGAAAAGATGAGAGGGAACAAATTTTGCTTTCATTTTGCGCAACTCTTTCCTGTTCTGACCAATTTACTTTTTCCCATTATTCTTGAGCAGTTCGCTACTTTTAATCAGTTTGAATGTTAACTAAGTAGGTTTCTCTGCTCCTTTCAAGTTAAGTTTTCATTAGTTGCCCAAATTATAATAACAAACTTCAAAACAGCCTTTATGTTTCTGTTTTGATGCAAAATAAAAGTATCTTCACGCACTAACAGATCAAAAATTTCAGCATTTCATCAACATACAACTGTTTTTTTTTCGGCGCAAGTATTGATTTTTCACAAAAAAAATCTATTTTAACATGAAGATGCAATAAGCTCTTCGCATATAAGTATTTGTGAAAATATGATTAATCGTAAAGTGATCTTTTATGTTAAGTGTTGGCTCTTCACAAGACGCAGGTCAAATGCCCAACTCCAGGGTGTCAGGGTAAAGGTCATATCAACGCCAACTGGACATCACACAGAAGGTGAGTCACCTCGAGGGTCAATCAGATATCCAAAAGCATAAACAGAATGATCAAAAACAAAAATTCATTAGATAAAACCAGTCAAAAACCCGACAAACAAAGTAAAGAAGTTACTAGCTTCATAAGTATCAAGAAGAAATTGTTTCAATCTATTACAGTTTGTCTGGATGTCCGCTGGCAGCAGCTCAGAAACTGGCCAAAAATGCCATGTACATTCCAGAGGAAAAACGATTGGCTCTAATCCAGGAGAAAGTTTCCAAGTAGGTCCTTCAACGCTTTCCGATTCTTCTTTTAATAAAACTTGGGCCGTACCCTTCAATCTAAACATGAATGCCTCGTAATTTCAGGTCTCCTGACGTCGGCAAGGAGTTAGAAAGGATCGCAAACAATGCGGCCACTAACTTCAAATCAGAGTCACAAAACGTGCCAATCAAGCCAAAGATTGGAACTCAATCGCCCTCAAACGGCCAAGTCAACAAAATTCAGCTGAATCTGGACATAACCACAACTGACGATATTATCAATGACGTCATGAAGATGAGTTCAGAAAACTGTAAAAAGAGTGCTGAAGTTTTGAGTGTGTCAAATGTCCACGAGAACTCATCGCCCAAGATCAAAACTTCTGGAAATTCCGGTCAAACTTCCCCGTCCCAAAAAGTGTTTTTTAATCCAGCACCTCAAGTTGTCAAATCTTTGCAGAGTACTTCAAATGAAAACTCAATCAATCCCATCTCTGGACTCAAAAATATTCTTGAAATAAAACAGGAGCCAATCATCAGTCATTTGAGCGAACCAGCAGTCCAAGAAACGAGGAATACTGACTATGATACGCAGGAAGAGGAGGGAGCGGAATCATGGTAGGTTCTTATTTTTCTTGCTAACAAACATACAAACATACAGAGAAATTTGAAGAGCAGAATTTGTTCACATGACCACGATAAATTGTGCTTTTTGTTGGTCTTTTAAGGGGGAGAGGACTGAAAAAAACTATGGAACTCAAACTCGTTCATTTTGGATTCTTTTATATTCGAAAATTTCTTCAGGGCTAATGAATTGGTGCGCGTATAGTATCCTAGATGCTGTGGATTTTGCTTGAAACAATTTTGAAACTTTCCTTTGAATAATTTTGTAACTGCATCTTAATAATTCAAATCAAATTTTGATTGACAGCTACCAGATAACTGAAGACATCGCTGACTGCGCGGTAGGTGCTCTGAATCTGTCTCTGAAGCCGGAAGATCTTGCCACCAGTCGCCAAACTATCCCCCCTCCTCGCCCTCTGAACTCGCAAAAATTAATGGAAGCCACAACAGGTAACCAAAACGGTATAAATTTTGAACAAGAGATCAACTTATTTCGGAAAGATATTAAAAGTAAAACAGAATTCAGAACTGGGCCTATCAAACCTGCATAGCTAATTGTTCTTTCCGATAACTCAATCTATTGATGATTATTGGCTGTCATTTCAGAGATTGAGCTAATAATAAAAAGAAACAAGACTGCTCGTATCAGGGCGAAGCCCTGAATGTTCCGACTGCCTTTTAAGGTTTATGGAGCAGCAGTAATAACATTAAAAAAATTAAATGAAATAAAATAAAAAGAAAATTTTTTATTCTAAAATTTGAAAATTTTTATGAAAATCATCCCCCCTCACGCCATATAAAGTACAAAAAGAGAGATTTTGTTCCTTGTAACAAATCAATTATGGCAAATAAGCTTCGTTCAACCAATTTGGAACGATTTATAAGACGGATTAAATCTCCGCTTACGCGTTAATAGCGCGAATTATATCGCGCGTTAATTGTCCCAAATTGGTCAAAATGGCAATCTTTAAACCCTCATAACTTTACGAAAAATGATCACAGGTGAAATATCTTTTCAAATTTAAGCCCAGGACAACAATACCTTTTGAATGATATAAAAAAGTTCCGTCAAAATTGGGTAGTTAAAAAGTCGAAATTTGTCTGAAGAAAAAAAAACCCACCGCGAGCACAAATATTCCGTTACTTTCGTATCGAAAGTCGGAACAATAAAAGCAAAAACTATCCGAATTAAGTTTTTACTCAAATATTTTGCCTCCTTATAAAGATAGAAAATGAATCTCAACGAATATTAGAGTGACTATTTATTCAGGTAACTGCAAATCTGCCAAATTGTGCTCGGATGCGTGGTCACTTTTGAGTGCATTGGATCTAACCAATCAGAAGGTGAGCAGCTCACCCCTCGACATGGTATTGGACAACGAAGTAAGCCGAATCAATGATTTCATGCAGAATAACACGGCTGCTGTTGTTTGCTCTTCGGAGGACCGCAAACCATTGGCGGGAGTCGAAAAAATATCCAACGGTTTGACGGATACTTGTCGAGGGTCACCCGTTACGCAGACCAACACAATCGAAAAGTGAGTCCTAATTTTTTTTTTTACAAAAAATAAACTTTTGATTTAGGAAAAACGAGTTCGAACTTACTTTTTAACTCGGCGACATTCAAGCTAAATTATGGTAAAATTATGGTTCAAACATGTTGAATGAAGCGATTATGAACTGAATCATACATTGAGTCAATAATGAAAAAGAATTGTACGTCAATATCGTCTCTAGCGTGCTTTTCAACGCCTCTCTGCCAGCGAATCCAGAGTGAAAAGTCAAAAATTACAATGCCCATTTCTTTGCGACTCCTCTAAGGTATTCTGCGGGTTGACAAAATACCGCTCGAGTGACACATTGTGCCTCTTTATTAAGGTGTCCTACCATCGGGTGCGACGGAAGCGGACACATTAACAACAATTTCTCCTCCCACCGAAGGTGCGCATACCACAACATTCCGCACTACTGCAGACTAGAACCATTATAACTCTTATTCCCAAAGATTACATGTCACTTTTACCCGTCTCTATTTCTCCCTCAGACTCTAGGTCAGACGTAGCAGACACTATTCTTTACACATTGTCTCTCCTTGTTTTTTTCCAAACCTAGCATGATTTTGTGTTGACGTGTGAAAGCCATTCAAGTACCACAATGGCTGCATTCTTTCCATGAAAACTTTCCCTAACATCAACTTAGTTTTAGAAAAGTTTTCAGCATGATCATGTCTACATTGCATGCTCTGAAAATTTTGTAAACTTATACTGCTGTTGATTCTCCGATCCAAATTTTGATTAATGTTGAATGTTGAAATAAATGAAACAATAAATCAAGTTTCAAACTGATGGTGTTTCCTTTTGGCTTTAGCATATCCGGGTGTCCGAAAGCTAAACTCGCGCGACGATCTCTTATGACGTCGCCTACTATCACAAAACCGACTACGGCGAGCACTCAGGCGAACGGCGGTGGGATCGATACGGGATGCGATGACACCAACATCAAGTGTCCGGTACCAGGATGCGACGGGTCGGGACACTTGACTGGCAAGTACGTATCGCATCGGAGTGCTTCAGGATGTCCAATAGCAGCAAAAGGAGGATACGTACTACCCGATGGCAGTGTCTGGAAACCGTCTAGAGTCGATGGACCTGTATGTCCTACTCCTGGATGCGACGGATCTGGTCATCTGAATGGAAACTTCCAGAGCCACCGATCACTCTCTGGGTGTCCTCGCGCAAAAAAGCACTACGCATCTCTGATTCCCACAATGGCCACGCAGGTGACAGCTTCTCAGCAGATTCTGGATTCGGTCAATTCTACAATTTCCAGTACTGTGGCGTCTATTGCTCACGCAATGTCGGGCGGAGGGGGAGCTAACAAAATGCAAACCAATGGAGGTGGGCATATTGAGTTTAACTCATGAATTTAAAATAAATTCAATAAATTAAGACCAAATACGAGCCAGAAAAACAATTGAGTCAAAGATAATATTAATCAATCAAGAATGTCGATTTTGATAATCGATATTTGATTATATTCATAATGATAATGCATGAAGGAATAGTATTTTGAAACAAGATTTCAAACTAATTTCATAGATTTCAAAAAAGTTCTTTAATTGAAATTAGGAAATTGTTGCTAAACAAGTTTACGATTATCAATTGCGGATATATGTGATTTCAGACCTACTTAAAGGATCTACAGCTTCTTTGAAACTCTCAAACAGAAACCGAAGAAGTCGAGATCCAAATTCGGAGGATGAGAGCGATTCGAAAAAGAGCAAACTGCAGATTGAAGAACCAGAATTGCACACGACATCTGAAACTGAAGAGTCGAGTGAAAAAGTTCTGAACGGATCAAATGCGAAGTCTCTGGCCGATTCGAATTCATCGTCGATGAGTGATGATTACATGGACATTCTACGCGCGTTCGGATGTATTTCGTCAAACATTTCCTGTGCTAAAACCGCCAATGAAAAACTAAACTCTGCAACTGTTGATCACACGAAACAGGCTTTAACTACTTCTGACTAAATCTTAAACCTAATCTCTTTCCAATTAATAGTGCAATATTTTTGATATTTTTATTTTTCATTTGTAGTTTTAAAACTCATTCCAATGTTACTCAACCATACATGAAAAGCTTGCCTAGTGCTAAAAATATATCAAACGAAAGCCATTTTTCCAATATAAACTGGAATTAACTTCAAAATTCCTTCTTCTAGGATTTCAACTAGGCGTAAATTGTATATATTTGGTGCGCCTTTAACGTTTTATCAGCACTTAATTATTAATCAAATCGTAGTCGTCACAAAATAATGTAAATTTCAGAGTAGATTTCGCAGAAGTTTTTTGAATTGTAAACGGTAATTCAATTTATATACCACAAATTCCGCCTAAGACATCAAGATGAAGTGTAGACGTAAGATTCCAAACGTTTAATTAGTTTATTCACGGCTATTAAAAATATGTCAAGGTGTTCATGTTCGAGCTTGAAGACCTTGTTACGATAAAAACAAGGTTTTTAACATCTTCCTTCGAATCATAAAACTCTCCCGCAACAGCCGATGAAATAAAAACGAATGTACCATGATTGATAGTCTCATATTGATTAATGGGATCAAATTCCTTCCCCCCTTCTAAAGAAGTTTGGAGGGGGGAAATGATGTTAACTTGGATCTAAAATGAGAATTTTCAGCCATTCAGAAACGAGCTTTTTACATGCAGCGCTAAGCAAACTTAATCAGAATTCAATGCTGGGGTGGAAGATCTTAACTTGGTATATCAAAGGGGGATGTTAACTTGATTCGATTAATTTCCCACAAGACAACAGGACGCTCAATAACTGGTTCCTAATGTTAAGCTGATTTTGAAATATAATTAAATTCTCAGACAAGGAAACTTTTGCAAGTTTTTTCAAGTAATGTCGTTTAGTTGGGTATGATGAGCAGACCTGCTCGAAAACCAAGCACTTAAGCTTATTTGAGATCAAGAATAAATTAGCAATTTTCGACAAATATTTTCCTTGAAAAATGAAAAGAAAAAATCAAAAATGTTTGTTTTTTTTACTACAACTTTTGATGTTAACATTTTGATTTAGTAAAAAATTCTGAAGAAGGCGCTAAAAGAAACTTCGAAACCTAAATTTAAAAGAGTAATAAAATAACAGCTTAGAAGAATAATAGAAAATAGACTATTATAAGGCTCCTCACTTGCTGTATTTGCTCAAAATTAGACTAAAAAATCAAAAACCGGCTTTTCTTGAATCTGAGAGTTAAGTTGATGGTGCGAGTGACACAAGATTTCACAGTTTTTTTCCCGATTTGCTTTTTTGTTCTTTCTAGTCTTTTTCATGTTGTCAAAAGCTCCTACATTCACATATTTCTTGAAAAAAACTATACAGCAATAATTTCTTTTAACAATATTTTTGTCAAATTTTCTCATTTATTTCAAATTTTGGCAAAATATTGATTGGCTCAGCTGCTAACTTGTTTTTGTTTTCATTTAAACATAAACGTGTTGATTTACTTTTTATACACTTTTGATTTAGTTACTTTGAAAAAGAATTATAAATTTGAAAGAAAACTTTTTTTCAAATTTTTGCTGGACTGATTATTATGTCGACTGGACTGAACTTCAATCACTCATCATTTTGTGGTGTTGTTTGAGTCAATTTTAAAATTGAAACCAACAGCAGAGAAACTGATTGATATTTCCTTTCTTCTAAGAACCCATATTTGATTATTTTATACATCATTCATGACTTGGAGGGTGCATTTATGATTAATATGTTGTACTATTTTGAGATATCCATTTTTGGCTGACGGACCATAAAATTTTTTCTAAAAGCGACTTAGCGCCTTTATATAATAATTTTGAAGGCGGAGCGCGCGCCAAAAAAACGCGAGTTTTTGGTCAAAATTTTCGAAAGTGCCTAAAAACACTTTATTGGCCTATTTTTCAAAATTTTGCCTGCGGCGCAGCAAATTCTGTCAAAATAGGGTCGTTTTGGTGATTCAGGAGAGCTCAGAAAATAAATTTGATCGATTTGAAAAAAAATCGACAAAACTTTTGATTTTTTTTTTGAAAATCTGCCCCCACCTTGAGAAAATCCTAGATTCGCCCCTGCCTGATAGTATGAGGATCTTAAACGCTTAAGCTTTTGAGATGTTCCAAAAAAAATTGATATCAAAGGAATGTTTCAAAAATTGTCAAATTGTATCAGCTTTTTTTTCACACAGGCAAACGCATGTCTTTACGCTTGCCATTAGTATATTGTGAGGGCACTTTCATTTCAGTGCTCAATTTCAGCACTTATGTCTGCTCGTGTATTTTATCTGCATGCGTTTTGTCGGCTTTATTCATGGCTGGTGCATGAAATGGTTCGATGACATTCTACCCTATTCCAATCTACCCTGTGCTAATCTACCCTATAGTACTCTATGCTACATACCAATCTACCCTATACCATTCTACCCTATAATTAAAGCAATTGAAACTTACCCCATCCTCTTGAAGAATCCGAAACAGTATATTTCCGAACAAATCAAAGAACCATTAATTTTGATCAAAGAATAATTGACGCACGTGAACAAAATATCAAAGCAACGTAAAACTTGCTTGTTCAGAACGGAAATGAGTTCAAAGCATGAACGAACGGAAGTTTTAATCCAAGGTTGCTATAGAAATGCGTTGCGGCTATTTCTTAAGCAAACAAAATTCATATCACATCAAGTCGACATAGCTTAGCGGATAATGCATGTGTTTGAAAATCAAATGTTCGAAAGATCAAATCACCAAGAAGGCAAACTTTGAATAAAGTTCGAAAAGTACTGAGGGTTTGACTAGTTGATCACAAAAGGAGGGATAGACCCCCCAGTACCAGACCAAGGCGGTACTAGGGGGCGGGGCGAGGGAGAAGGTGAAAATCTTTTGATATTGGCCTCTATTACCTCCCAAAATATCAGCCCTCTAGGGCCACGAGAACCTCAAAAAGTGTATTTTTTAAGAGATTAAATTGAATTTTCGAAAAATTCACAAAGTTTGATAAAATAAACAGAGTTAGGAATGACTTAATTGCGCGAGAGAATACAAATATGTTAAAATAGAATCTGTGTTAAAATTGTTGCAAATGTTTTTCACTTTCACATTCAATTCCCTGTACTTCTTGCGACTGGGGTTGCTGTCTCCTCCCATTGCTTTCATTATATTGAATTTTTGATTGGCAGCATCCAGTTTGATTTGTTCCAGAAAGGTGTGAACGGATGGGTGGTTTCCTTTAAAGAGAGTAGCAACGCCAAGAACGTTCTATCACCCAGCCAAACATCTCGATATAAAATCAAACACTCGATATTGTCCCGATCTCCAAAAATCAACACCCTTTCTGGATCTTCAAAGCCGCTATCGAACACGCAAAAATCCTCGTGTTGCTTTGGCACTTCAAAATGTCTGTCGACAATTGGAGGCTATGTGGGTCTATCAGTTACCTTCTGTCGATTGAGGGCCCGATTAATCGCCGACCGGCAAGGAAGAGCTAATTGAAATGCTTTTTCTTCGGACACAGACTGCAGGCCGTTTGCTAAAATTATGCTATTGACTGGTACTTGCTGAATTTTTGAGTCTTGTTTCATTTGCTGCACGAGAAGCCTAGCATCCGAACGACCAGGAAATACTTCGTGCGTGTGCTCATTTCTACAAAAAATAAAATCGTTTTCTCGGGTTATTGCTGTCGATAGACCCCAAGAAATTTGACTCAGTTTGGTAAATATTATTCCAAGGAAAATCGATATGAAGACGTAGTTTTGGTTTCATTTTTGTAAGTGATTTTGAAAATTGGGGATTGAAACTTGTTAATTGAGACAAATTTCAGATTTTGAGGCTGTAATTGCAATTGAGTCTGTAGAACAATTTCCTGAAGTGAAAGACTCAAATTGAGTCCAAAAAATTTGACTCAAATGAATGAACACGTGCTGTTATCTTTCCGATTCTAATAAGGACTTTGAAAGATTACATTATGGGACCTCATTATGGTAAATAGGACAGATTAGTACAGAGTAGATTAGCATAGGGTAGATTGGTATGTAGGGTATAATGGCATCGGGTAGAATGGTATAGGGTAGGTTGGAATAGGGTAGATTGTCCTGCCACCCATGAAATATTGCAATAACTTTGGAGCTTTTTTTCTTATTAATTAATGGTTTTTACTCTTTTCACTTTGCTTCTTAATGGGTGAGTGATACCGGAAACTTAATTTCACTTGCGACCGATAATCAGGAACTAGACTTTTTTACGGAAACAACTTTTCTTACAGGCGAAAGGTCTTGGGTTCGAATCCCGGCCGGTCCTTGTTTCATTTTACATCATTAACGTATACCTATTAACGTTTATCTATCATGTACGTATACCTTGCTCAATTATGGAACCTTCAGGTCCCTTCCTATTTGTTCCACAAGTAAAGCACGCACCTTTGTCACTGAAGGTCTAGGGTTCGAATCCTGGCCAGAATTTGTTTTTTTTAATGTTTGGAAGTTTTTCTTGCTTGTGAAACTTCAATTGTCGGACTATCGTTTGTCTGTTTATTTTTTGTCGGCTTACGGTCCAACGCTTGGAATTTTTAAAAATAAATATCTGTTTCAGCAATTCTACAACTGAAAGTCGGTCTGTAGTTTGTAACTTCACCAATTTTGATTTTGTACATTTTTTTGAACGGGTTCCGTTTACGCTAGAGCGACTTATTAACCTAATTTTGCGTCGTTTAAAGTGAAAAAAATGGCTTTGCTTTTGCGTGTTTCAAAGAATTGGGTATTAAAATTATAGCTCAATATTTTCCATGACATTTTATCTTCGGCTCAACTGGTGTTTCCCCAAGTATTGTCGGCTTGGTTGCCACTCGGCAAATTGTTTTGAATACCGATTTAAAGGCAGTGATGTTGTTTCTTGGCAAATTTTCCTCAAAATGATAAACAATCGCAACAAATTTTTCTCGATTTAAAAAAAATGTCTTTAATACACTTGCCTCCGCCGCCTCATTGTCTTTCTGCTACTTTACAATGATATCTTTGTTGCAAGGATCCGCTCCGCTTTGAAGGATTATTTTGTTCATATAATCTGTAATTGATCAGTTATCGTCAAGTTGAGGGGTTTTAAATTGGATTGGTGTATGTTATTTGATCTATTAATATTTTTTTACTATATGTGAATAATATCCTTTTTCTACTTCACATAGCGTGTCGGGGGATGGTTTAAAAAATATATATATTTTGAAAAATTCATCAAATTAATTATTTTAAATTCCTTCAGAAAATAAACACGCAGTCGGAACATTCAGGGGCTTTTTTATTCAATTTTCAGCGATCAAAAAAAATAAGTTTTGACAGACATTTTTTATACCCCATT